ATCGTGGAATCATGGCAAAGTAGAGAGGATGATCTAGGGTCTCGTTGGTGTTAGTTTATTATTTTTAGTATGATGGAATTTTGGATTAGATGTTGTTAGAATTGTTAGATAATATTCCAACAAATTATCTAACAATTTTAACAACTTCTAATTCAAGATTACAACATACTAAAAATAATAAAATAACACTAACGAGACCCTAAATCATCCCCTTCTCCTCGCCATGATTCCACGATCACACTTTATCTTTACCGTCCACTTTTAAATCCCACCGTTGAAACACTAAATCACACTAACACTAATTGGATCAAGAAACGAGATCTAACCGTCCACTTTTAAATCCCACCGTTGAAACACTTTTATTATGTGTCCTGAATCTACCCTCAAAATTTCGTAACGATAAGACAAATAGTTTACTCACGATCTTTCTTTGAATACACATTAGTCCAAATCGCGTCTGAAACATAAGGACTCACGAAAACAGAGATAACTCTTAGAATATTGACTCAAATCAATATCTGTAAAATGCCACAACTAGATATAAGTCTTACCTACAATCCCTGAAATTTTCGTTACCTTTGGAAATGATTTGATACGTCGAAACTCTGTTCTACCAAAATGTGTCTGGTCTGTCTCTCTCTCCTTTCACCAAACTTCAACCTCTCCCTCTTCCTCACACAAAACTTAGCTCTCTTTTTCTTCTCTTTTTTTTTTTTTTTTTTTTTTTTGCAGTTCACTACACAGGAGAAGAGGAGGCTGGTGTCCTGATATAGAAAAAAATAGGGTTTCTTGGTTTAAATTGATTAAACCAGGATTTTATTAAACTGAGAATTAATTAAACCACCTCTTTTGTTTAATTAATAAATCAACCCTTTTAGTAAACCAGCTGAAATTGAACCGACTCTACTTCAATTGCCGACATAAACATCCATTTTTCTATCTTTTTTTTCGGAACACGGGCGTTACATGGCGAGCAACAAGATTTTTTTTACGAATGCAAAATTATATTCAACAAAAAAATAGTTTTACAATAAATGCATCATCAAGAATAGAGAGTTTGAGGAAAAAAACTGAACAATTTAGTCATTATCGGATCTACGGGTTTGGAACCAATACCGCAATCCACCTTCAAACTTAGCGATGCCCAATTGGTGAATGGTGCTGAACATTTCGAACAATTTTAAAGCTGGGATTTCAGGCTCCCCATGACGTCTACCGTTGCTCTCTCTCCATAGACTATGGATCGATGCTTTAAACACATACCACAAGGTGAAAACTTTAATGTGAGACTGTGAAGAGTCGAGAATACCAGATCTGGGTAGATTAGGGACAGGAGAAAAACAAGTGTTCCTGTGTCTCCAATTCTTCACTACAAAAAACACACCCAACCCGAGCTCCCCCTGTTCCATTTGCTAAGTCTATCTCCTGTTGCAAGTCGGTTGTGGAAAGCTATAACCAAATAACGAAAGAGTACTTTGACACCAAGAAAGTAGTACAATTAAAAATTTTGGTTGAATACTTAGCTCAAAGTAATGCAAGCTGTGATGAAAACTACGATAGGATCGTAAGAGAGAAATTGAGTGAAAACTAATGGAAATTATTTGAACTTGTATATGGAAAGATGGCCGACGATCAACTCCTAGACCCTCTTGCTTCCTCTCGGAACTTTACTCGGAAAAAAGGAGGATTCCAATATCGCTCTTTCAACCATTATTATGGGAACATTAACAATCATATACGAGTATCAATGTGGAAACCCAACAAGACCAAGTATACCTAGCACAAAAGAAACAATGAAAATACTTCCAACTAAAGTCATTGATACAAGGTCAACAAGGGTTCAACACCACTACTAATAACAAGAAGACCAACAAGGACAATTTCTTCAAAAGCCTCAATTAACAAAAACTTCCAAAGGCACATATGCTCTTCTTTAAAACTAGTTTAAGATAGTAAGATAGAACTTCTAGTGCAAAGAGTTCTGGAGGTAAAAACAAAAAACTACGCAAACATAGAAAGAAGTTTGAAAAGATCCACACTACGATTGATGGAGTTTAAAATGATCTAGACGGGAAGATAATGAGCTTAGCCTCTCACGTAGAGATAATAGACTTGCTATAAGCTCAAATTGCATCGAGTTCTAAGAGTCCAACATAGATTCTTCTCGGAAAACCGGAGAAAATCCAAAATTATATATAAAAATTGGTGTTTTCCAAGAGTGGAGGAGGAGTTGATACCAAATTTTGATCTGACCATTTTCAAATTTTGATTAAAGATGATTTTGTGTTGTAGTTCTTTAAGATAACAGAATTTGAAGGAATGGAAAAAAAAAAAAAAAGCATGTGTGATTTTGTTTTAGATCTTCTAGGGGTATAATGCAAATTTTGAGACGAAACTCATTTTTTCTATATTAACTTCAGGATGGATCTCACCAATTAAGGGGCCGATTTGGTAACGACTGTTAATTCTCGTTGTAGAGACTTTGACTATAAAAACTTTCGCTCTAGAAATTTTTGCTGTAAAGACTTAGAGTGTATAAATTTTATAACCGATTGGTAAAAACTATGACTGTAGAAATTACGATTTTAAATAACCACCAAAAATATGGGAAAATGGATCTTAAAAGAACAAGAAAAAAAATTTAATTATAAATCTACTAAAATTTTTTAAAAATTAATTTATTTGTGAAAGTTATAAGGGTTTACATACATATAAGAAAAAAAAAAAGAAAAAAAAACTATAAACTTTTAATTTATTTATTTTTAAAGTCCCAATTACTTGACTTTAAAAAGAAAATGAAAGCAAAGAGTAAAAAAAAAAAAAAACTTTGAAGACTTTAAAATTTACTAAAGCCAAAAAAGCTTGATCGGAAAAAAAAAACCTTTTCAAATTTTTAAAATCTTTTTAAAGTCTTAAAAGTCTCATCCAATCACCCCCTAAAACTAAAGATTTGTAAGTAAACGGTTTTGTCCAGCAATTATTTTAGTTTTAAAAATTATGATCATTTAAAAACGAAAAACTCCCACTATGTGTCTTCTCCACGCAAAAGAAAGTTTCATTTTCTTCATTGTATTCTTTATTTGTAGGGAAATTTGCATAAATAACCAACAAAAATTTATAAATTAAGAAACTAACATCAAACAAAAAATGAGTTGATATTCTATTTATTTTCTGTATTAATGACAGTTTTGCCCTGTGTAAAATGCACACCTTTTTTTTTCTTTCCTCTATGGCTCTATCCGTTGCTTATCTCTCCTCTATTTGTTGCCTAACACATTGTTTCTTCCACTCGATTCTCCCTTCTTCATCTACCACAAATGCCAGATTATATAGCTTCACCAAGGATCTCATCTCTTCTTCCTATTCTTTGCTACCCATTGAAAACCCTAAATCCCTTTGTATCACTGTCATCGATTTGCCGTCACTTTACTTCCGATGATTCTGATCAATCCAGCAACAGTTGGGATCGACTTGGTCTCGCTCATCCAATCGGTATTGTCGTTTTCGTTCACGGCTTCACTGGCGAATCTAATTGGTTACCCAACTCACTTACTGACTTACATCTCTTTGCTAAATCCGTTTGCATCACCAAGGCCATGGAATCCCCAACGGACCATCGCCCATATCCTGGCCATCAATGTATAGTCCATGAAAGATTCCAACTTACTGTATTTGATTTGCCCAGAAAATGTTTCTGTAATTTCATTAATTTTTATCATAAAAACAAACAGACCAATACATTCGATTTTCGATTTTATTTGTCTATTTAAACTGTTGATTAACGAATGGACAAAATTGTTTTGTAAATTTTTTTCGATTAGCTATAGTATAGTCAATGGAGAAGGTAATGTTTATTTATCTCTCTTTGTGACTGAGTTTCAATGGCGGCGGTGAGATACATAGATGTTGCAAAGGATCTTACATCAGTTTCACAGAGGAGGTTCTCAATTTTGATGCCAGTGAGCACTTAGTTTACGAAAGTGAATCTTAGAGACATGGTTTAGTTAATTGGGAAATTTCTCTTGATAAATAGGATTAACAAAACTCCATTGGAGACTCCCTATTAGTCATTTTGGTTTTGGGCGATTTGTGATGATAAATTTGATGAGAGTAAAGAACACAAAAGTGTTTAGGAAGAATTAGAATAGACTCTCATGAGAATAATTGTACAAGATACATCGGTATATATAGAGATAAAGACTAAACCTAATTTCCTAAATTAAGATAAACTTAAATGTAAAATATATTTTAGAGATAAATGTAAATATTCCTAACTAAGATATGATAATCTTCTTGATCCTTCTCGATCTTCATGATTTCCATATTCTTGAGCAATCATCTCAACCGTCGATCTCGGTCGATCTCCGGTTCCTCCAATACCCCCCGGCAAGCTCATACGTGGTAACACGTGTGAGATTGGACAAATCTTCAAAATAACGGCTTTATACCCGGCCGTCGGGTCATCGACGTTTATACCCGGTCGTGGGGTCAAAGCGGCTACAAAACCCAGCCGTTGGGTCATCGACGTTTATACCCGGTCGTGGGGTCATCAACGGTGGAAAATACATCTTTCGTAGTTGTGTATCTCCATCGGTTTTAGATCACAAGTCTTGGTCGCTCTTCGAACATCTTGTTCATGAAGAAACTTGTGTCGGATTCGAATTCATCACCGCCGGATCAGCATCGTATCCATTGGATCGGAATCATAGTCATCAACTCCACATCATCGTTGGAGTAGTTTCATCACCACCACCATAAGCAATCATCGGAGGTGTTCGTGTTCATCAATACGGCATCACCGTATATCAATATGTTCTTCATCGAAGAAAGAAAACAAAGAAACCAAACAATTGATTTCTTCCATTCCAAGTAAGAAACATAATCACGTGGCTTTGTGATTATCTTCCTCGCCAAACTCTATCAACGGCCAATCATCTTGACTTTTTTTTTTTTTTTTTTTTTTTTTTTTTTTTTTTTTTTTTTTTTTTTTTTTTTAAAGAGGGATGCAACACGAGGACTTCCCGGGAGGTCACCCATCCTAGTACTACTCTCGCCCAAGCACGCTTAACTGCGGAGATAGTATTCTATTTTACTTGTAATTTTTATACTATTCTATTTTGTGAAGAGAGAATTTACATTTCCGTTGTACTATTTATATTGAATTGTTTGTTTTTATTAAGTATAATTATGATGTTGTATGTCATTGTCATGATAAGGGTGTTTTTATTGGCGCAAACACAATATTTGAGTTTGTAAATTATTAGTATTTTGATCTAGTTTTTTATTTGTCTATACCATTTCATTTTGTATGTTCAAAATACACCAAAACATTTTACTTGTACCGTTTTTCTAGTTTGTAAAAAATTTATGCCTATTTCCAAAAATTCAAATCACATCATATTTAGAAAAATCTAGTTTTTTTTTTTAAAATAGTTGAGAGTTTGAATAAGTTAACTTTTAAAAAGTTTTTAGCAAGAAAATATAATAGGGTACAAATACCATCTAAAAAAAAAGAAAATGAATAAAGAGAAAAAGAAAGGTGCTCCTAATCCACTCCAAAAGCTGAGTGTGAGTGTAGGGAGTTTGTGGACATTTCATCTTCTTAAGGTGTTACTTACTTAATTTTTGATTTTACGGTGCTATATCCTTAAATAGTTTATCAAAATTGGCTACTTTTGCAAATCACCCTTATTTGTAATGAAGTTTCTTATTCTAAAAAAAAAAAAAGGTTTCTTATTCTAATGTAAATTATAAATTACAATATTTCCATGTGCCTTATTATACTCAAATCAAATGTATATAATATTTTAGTAGGTCCATAAGAATCTCTTACAACATGATAAACGATGACATGAACTAATAAAAACATTATCGTAAATCGTAATGACAGTAATGACCTAAGGGCAAACGCAGTGGTGAACTTTCTTGGTGGGTGTAAGTATTAAAATAAAGAAAATAATTGCAAAAATTGGCTTAGAGGAGACACCCGCGTGTAGCCTAACACTCGGATGTGAGGCATTATAAAAAAGGAAAAAAATTTCTTCTCTCTATCTCTCTCTTATCTCTCTCTCTCTCTCTCTCTTTTTTCTCTCTCTCGTATCCAACAAAACTTTTGCATTATTTTCCTTTTCTTAAATACTAACACCCCGAGGCTGAGATCCCCCATTGCGTTTGGTCTAATGGTTAGTGGTCATTTTTATTTTTATTTTCATTGTTCAGATTTGCCATACAATTAGAATGTTTTATAAAATTAATAATCTGTATAATGTTTTATATGATTAATAATTTGTATAGGTTTATACCATAAAAAAGTTTTGACTCAGCGGGTTAGCTAGCAACAAGCGCAAATCTATTCCAAAACTTGATCAACTCATCCTATCTGAGACTTTTATCAATATTTAAAAGTGTCAAAACAAACTAACCCGCTTCAATTTAACATGTCTTACAATAGAGTAACATATTTTACAACTTCTGAAGAACCTACACACTTTGAAAAAAAACTTAGAACATCAATCTTAACATGCCTCACTTTAAAATTTGTTGATTCATGCGCTCTTTTTATATTGCAACTTTTTCTTATTTAGATTTTTTTTAGGTACAAAAATATATTCTTTAAATCTACTTTTTATATATAATAAAATATAAATAAGATATAATATAAATTTACTTCTAATTTTCTACGAGAAAAATTATTTTTTACTAACCTCGTAGAAAAGTGATAGGAAATTGAACCTACCAAAATTTTCGTAAGAATTATTATAGGAAGTAACTATGTTTTCTTGTACGCTAACGTAAAAAAAAAAAAGCAACAGAGTAATTTGAATATAAACATCATAAATAAATATTTTAAAACATATTCTAATTTTTTTAATTATATTATTATCTCTATAGATTAGTTCGATGTTCGCGCGAATTTAACCAATTTAAATCGTTGTCTACAGTAGATGAAACCCGTTTGTTTGTAGCATTAACCCGGTCCATAACAATCGACCTTGGGTCTCTTTTAGACAGTTATGAGGTAAATTAGGTTGCGAAAAGAAGTCATCTCGGCAATGGAAAATTTTTGTGATGCTTGAAATCGGGTTAAAAATGAAGAAGCGGCCAATTAGTTACTGGAAATTGATTGGCGGCTAGAAGGACTTGTATAACATGTGTTATATATATGTATCAAACATAATCCACATATTTTTATCCAGAGTTTTGGAGACATTCAAACGTAACCTAGATTTATAATTACGTTTATTTTTTGCATAAAAAGGCTTGTAAAAATTCTATTTTGTAGAGTTTATTGAACCTTGTTTAGCTCTTGAATTATAACAAAATTTTGACGACAAAATAAAAATAGAAAAAATGTTCCATACCTAAATATATTGAGATATTTTTGAAAAGAGATGTTATAAAAGATGTATTTTTGAAATTCTCCAATTTTATTCCAAATTGACAGTCGTATCACTTGTTAAATTTTTATTTAAATATATATTAATTAATACCTTAAGATATTAAATATACATCAACATTTTCATTAGTATTTTATTTTCGCAAGGAATCATAATAATAGAGACGATTTTCGCAAGGAATCATAATAATAGAGACGACAATGTGAACTAACTCTCCCGTAAACAATTCTTCTTCTTTTTTTTTTTTCTTTTTCTTTTGTATGCAAATCCTTAATCTATTCTTCTTAAAATATAAAAATCCACATTATCCCTCAACATTTTTTTTTTGTACAATCTATATTACTATCTCTCAACATTATCAATAGAATCTTCTTGTTTGGAAATCAAAGAAAATCTTGTTTTTACAATCCTATCATCAAACAATCCGATCCTTCACGTGCTTCTATTTACGTCCCCTATTTGCTTGGGACTAGAAGATATATATCTAATTTATCTTCACCCCAACCCAATCAAACCACATCCACTTGGCACTTCTGAGCTGTCCCTTCCCACATTGTCTTAACCAATAATAGTGGACTCTTCACAATTTTTACATTTACATTTTCACCTCATTACTTCTCCCTTATTTCTTTAACCCCCTCATTTCTTTCAATTTGCTCCACTAGCCCCATTAAAAAACAAATATCATTACTTCAAAATCTTTTTGAAAAGTAGACCAAAAAATATACATAACGATTATTGATTAACTAAAATTATTTTAAATTACATATATTTTCTTTTACAAACGATCAGCTTTAGAACTATTCAGATGTAACTTTGAAACGATATGCAACTTTCCGATATAAAAAATGGTTTAAGAAACTATAAACATATGAATGTGGAGAATCAATCAAAATGTTGAGTGTAGAATTGTAAATGCACATCTAGATTTTAAAAGTATGGACGGCTTTAACAAATGATAATTGACTCTTTAAAAATATTATATTTTCATTTTCACCCCACTATTTCTATATTATTTCTTTAACTCCCTCAATTCTTATAATTGACCCCACTAGCCCATAAAAAAACAAAAAACCACTATTTTAAAATCTTTTTGAAAAGTGTACAAAAATTAATTAATAATTAATTACGACACTAATTGAGTTTTCCCCTTTATATACACCACCATCAAATCTCTCTATCTCAATCAAAACAATTGTCTACATTCATCTTCTTCTTCAAACAAAAAATGGGTTTCTTAAAGTTCTCTCCGATGATCCTTCTCCTAGCAATGATCGGCGTTTCATATGCCATCGACATGTCAATCATCTCCTACGACGAAAACCACCACATCTCCACCGTGAACAGCCGTAGCGACGCGGAGGTTGAGAGAATCTACGAGGCGTGGATGGTGGAACATGGGAAGAAGAATATGAACCAAAACGGTCTTGGTGCAGAGAAAGATCAGAGGTTTGAGATCTTTAAAGATAATCTTCGTTTCATCGATGAACATAACACCAAAAACCTCAGTTATAAACTTGGTTTAACCCGGTTTGCTGATTTAACCAATGATGAGTACCGATCTATGTACCTTGGTGCTAAACCGGTGAAGAGAGTTTTGAAAACCAGTGATCGGTATGAGGCGCGTGTTGGTGACGCGCTTCCTGATTCCGTTGACTGGAGAAAAGAAGGTGCCGTCGCCGATGTTAAAGATCAAGGAAGCTGTGGTAAGAACAAAATCTTTTTGTTCTGATTTTATTGATTTTTTAAATTTAACAAACAAAAAAATCGTAAATTTCGAATCTGAAAAAATCCCACAAATTCCTGAACTTTTTAACGGATGAATCAGTTTTTTTTCGAGTATTGAAATGGGTTTTTGTGAAAATTATCGAAAAATCTTGGATTGTTTCATAAATCTTTGTTTTTTTTTGATAAATATTTTCAGACATATCTTGAAACTTGTCTGGGGAATGATGAGTTTGGTCTGAAATGTTGACTTTTACTTTTAGGTGTACGTTTCGAAAAACCAAGATTTTGAATTTATGGAGATGAATAATTATGGTTAAATTTTTAGATGATATTTTGTGTTTATACAACAAAATGAAATGTTGAATTTTAGGTGCACGTTTCGCAAAACGAGTATTTTTGAATTAATGGAGGTGAATAATTGTGTTCAAATCTGAGAAAATTGATGATTTTTTGGGACCTTATTGTCTTTAAACTTTAAAGTGGTAGTGGGACATTATTATGGACCCATTACGAGATTTGCTTTTTTCAAGAATATAAAGGAGTGGTAGGGACGATGATTTGGTATGTGTTAGTGTTAGATTGTGACAATTTGATTGATAATAACAACTAATCTTCTTGTTCTTTAGGGAGTTGTTGGGCATTTTCAACTATTGGAGCAGTCGAAGGAATAAACAAGATTGTGACAGGAGATTTAATTTCGTTGTCTGAACAAGAATTGGTTGATTGTGACACATCTTATAACCAAGGTTGTAATGGAGGTTTGATGGATTATGCGTTTGAGTTTATTATCAAAAATGGCGGTATTGATACCGAAGAGGATTATCCTTACAAGGCTGCTGATGGACGTTGTGACCAGAACAGGGTTAGTTTAGTTTAGTTTTTGTTTTAGTTTATGAAATGGAATCCAAAACAATAGGGTTTGAGATTGAAATTTACTCTGTTTTGTTATGTATGCAGAAAAATGCAAAGGTTGTTACCATTGATTCGT